GAGTGCATGTCAGGAATAGCGCTAAGAAGGTAAGTGTGCCAGACTCCCCTTCAGACAGGTCTTTGTGGCCTCCCCATGGCGACTCTAAGTTCAGCAGATGAAAGTTCAAGTTCCATGCCTTTGGAAGGTGTCACCTGGCCCCATCCTCCCAGCAAATGGAATCAGAAGCTCGGATCTTCGCTGGCTGAGTGACACGAGGCCCACACCCTCCGAGGTACTGGGTGGGGAGGAAAACTCCGAGCCCTGTGGACCCACACTTTCATCTGCCTATTACTTAACGTGGGACATTGGGGAGAATGAGATCTGTCTGGGTGGGGCAGGTTCCCTTCACTGGCGCACCCACCCTGGGCAGGCAACCCATCACCTGTCCTTGGAGCGCCTGGGTCCTCCACAAATGCTCCAGCCTGGCCAATGGCCTCTCCCAGGAGGAAAGTGCTCCAGGCGGGCTGAGAGCAGAGCAGGGCACGCCAGTTAGAAACCATCAGTCCCAAGTGGTCCGCCAGTCACCAACGTGGGGTGGGAAAAAAACACCCCAAAAAACCCCATGAAAAATGTGGATTTCTAGGCTTAGATGTCTCCTTATTGACTGGGGACCACTCTGGACTCCAGTGGCCTCTGCCAGGCCCTGGCTGCAGGCTCCTCTCCAGCACACTCTCCACAGCCTCTCAGAGGTGCTGGAGGGGAAGCCAGGAAGGCTGGCGAGAGAGTCCGCAGAAACTTGGGTGAAGGGGGAGACTGGCTGCGGCTGGAGTGTGGACAGGAGGTCCCCAGGGAGGCAGGCCCACGCTTCCTCCCCGACAGGGACACCACCTTGCACAAGGTGCCCGAGTCTACCAGCAGCACAGGCCAGCTACCCACAGGATCAGCCCAGACTTGGTGCCTGGGTTCTGATGGCTCTTCTGTGACTGGCTGGTGGCAGGACGTGGCCACTGGAAGGGAACAACCATCTTACTGCAAAATCCCACCCGTGGAAGGCTGGCTCGGCCTCAGTGGTTTCTAAAGCCAAAAAAGTGTGGCTTTAACTTTCACAGAAAGCAGTGTTCTTGTATTTTATTCAGATTTAAAAATCAAATTTGGATTTCTCTACCAATACGGGAAACACACACCCAATCCCACGCCGAGCACACGCAACAACAGGGCGCAGGCCCTTCCAGAACGAGTCACCGCCGGACAATCCTCAGGGCGCCGGGGCTGCAAGCGGAGGAATGTGCGAAGGCTGCGCTTCGCCCAAGCGGACCAGACCTAGAGCCAGGTAACCGCAGCGCCAGAGCCAGGGAGAGCCACCGGCTGGCGATCATTCTGGCCCTGCCCAGCCCCTCGCCATCCCGTGACAGCGCCCAGGGCTGTGGCTTCTCCTGGTGCGTTAAACCATCCTGCCCTCCGGGCCGTACCGCAAAGCTCAGTTCTTGCCTTTTTAAACTTCCAGCGTTAGTGGGAAAGAGGCGACGCCAGCAGACGCCCACGGCCGCCTGTGCCTCTGCCCGCTGCCTGCCAGCCTCCGATGCGAGGCAGTTCAGGCTACCTTTTTAAACACAGTATTAAATTCAGAAGCAAACAGGAACACGAAGATATTAATCCATTACATTTTATTAACACATCTTAGATTCTTACCCTGTACTTTCACCAAAAGGAACTAGAATTTTGGGAAATATGTAAATAATGGAACTATCAGTCAAAATAACTGTGTAGCATCCGTCTGAAATGACCCAGAGGAGACCATCGAATGGCGCTCACTGGCCCAGCACAAATGACTTTCTGGAATTATACAAACACTCGATGCAGCCGCGTGCCGAGGGGACTGATGTGTCTTTGCCACATCTCAGGTATCTTTAGTCGCTTGTGTGAGGAACTGCCTTAAACTCAGACCCTATGCAGGTTCAGTGTGTTGCGGTGGCACTTCCGGGGCAGGCACAAGACCCCATAGCCCCATGGAGGCTGTTTCACTTGCATTCGGCTGACAGCAGCCTCTGGAAAGAAGCACCGAGACCCGGGCGCTGGAGGCTCAGCAGCCCTGTCACCTTCCTTTGATGTCGAGAGTCCATGTGATCCTGGTCCCACCATGGCTACGAGATTACGAGAAAGAATCTCACTGTGATCTTTCCTGCAAAGAAACAGCAATAAAATTTATTGCCTGCTCACAAGAGTAATTCTTGTAAACGAGGACCTTTGTGTGTGCCTCTCACTCTGGAGATACGACTGTGCAGGACAGGAGACCAAGGCCACGTCTCACAGCCCTGGGAATGGGGTTCACAGGGAACCAGCTGCCAGCCGTGCGCACATGTGGCTGTGAAAGCCAGTGCTGAGACTCAGGCTCCTTGACAAGGAGACACCGGAGAGCCCACGTCAGACCCGCACTCACTCCCACTGCTTTCAGCCTGGACGACCCATGACAGATGCGGGTGGGCTGTTTGCGTCACATGTGCGGCACCATCTGCCCTCAGAGCTGTCTGATTCTACCAACATCCACACCACAGGAGCACATACAGATGTTGGGGTCTGGTGGCTGGCGTGCTGTGGCCTGTCTTCGCTGAGTGGAGTCCCAGCTCCTGAGCCTCCAGGCACTTACGAACAGGAAGGCTTTTTGCTCGAGGGCTCGACTCCTGTTCCTGCTGAACTGAGCCAGTGTGTAAAATGAGAACTGATATCAGCTCAGTAGGCACCGGAGGGCGGGTCCAATCGACAGCCCGTAGAAGCAGTGCCTCGGCTGGGAGCTGCCCACACGGTCCGCCGGGGCTGCAGGACACAGAAACCTAGGCTGCAAATACAAGAGAGAGTCACGCGCGGGAGGAAGCAAAAGGATCTGTGTTGAAAGCACCCAGCCCGGACAGTTTTACTCGACTCTTGTGATGCATTTGGTTTCAGTTTTTTGTAAGAATAACTTCTGCAGCTTTCAATACATTTGACCTTTCAGAGAGACATCTAACTAGTGGAGTTATAGTTCTGCAGACTTTTGGCACATTCCTTCCATTCGTGACAGGACACAGTGCATCCTTGGGCCGAGGTCTTTCCTCCTCCAGAATTGTGCTCGCACCTGAGCTGACTGCTCAGCAGTGGCCTCTGCCCAGCGGCTCCAACTTAACTGCCCCCATCTCACCTTCTCTTCAGGTGCAGAACTTAGCCACTGTGAACAAAGCGGAAACCAGTCACTGTTCACCAATCAGCTAAGCTCTGCACCTCGTCAGAGAGGTCTTCAGCTGGGCACAATGAGAGGGCCGGTGAGCATCTTCTGCGACGGCTGCTGCTTCTGTTTCCGGAGAGCTACAAGACGCACCAGTTCTCCAACTGCAGAGAGAGAGGGACTATGGCTCTGGAGAGCAGCCAAGGTCGTGGTTGCGTGGTAATCCCTGGCAATGTGATTTTAATCTTAAGTCACAAATCAGCATGCCAGGAACCCAAGCAGCCAGAGCACTCTGGAGCCGCCGTGCCTGTGTGCTGAGCCCTCACTGCATACACCGGGTCCTCGGACACGAGGCGGCGACATCACCTCCAGGCCTGCCTCGCTACCATGTGGGTTTTAAGTTTTTTGTTATTTTCTTGGTGTCCTAGAGGGATAACTTTTTAAATCAAAAGGACTCAGAGATGCCCATACAAGTGCCAGTCCAATTTTGGAACATGACCTGGGAAAGGCACCGACCAGCCTCTGGCAGGGTTGGCAGAGACGGCTGTCCCTCCTGTAACGCTCAGCACAAATGCTAGTGCTCTGGGGTCTGCAGGGTGCCCAACGGCGGGAAGGTGCAAGTCACTGGTCTTAACTGAGAAGGCGGGGGCGGGTCAGAGGGCATGCATGTGGTCCCCAGTTCATCTGGAAGGAGAGGGACAGGGAGGACCATTGTAGAGGGGAGGTGAGAAAACAGCAGACCCCTTGCCAGGACCACTCCTTTGCCTGTTTGGGGGCAAAAAACTCATGCTGGAGAGTTGTGAGAGCTTAGTGCACATTGTGGTTCCCACGGCTGAGAACATGGGGACGAGCAAGGAACAGGCTACCCAGGGCAGTTTCACACACTTCAACAAACACTCCCCGTGAAATTAAACATTGAAAGAGAAATATGATTTACACCGGTTCCTACACGGGGTTGGCAACAAGACAACTGTGCAACTGTTCTGGTTTTGTAAACTGGCCCATCTGTGACGAGGACCTGAAGCTGCCGCCGGGGAGCGCTCTGGTTGGGGAATGTCTGCGCACAGCTGTCTCACTACAGACGCTCAATCGCTGCAACCATTCCCACCGCGTCCCCTCCAGCGAGCGTGGCTCTTCTGGGAGAGGGAGATCGCACTTTGGAAAAGCTGCAGTATCAGACTTCTTCCCGGTAAGATACTTAAACGTAGTGGACAAAACCGGTTTGTATAAAACAGAAGCAAACTAAACGTCCAACAATGGGTTAAGAAGACCAACAGGAAATATTAAATACCCACTAAAATTATATTTATAGAGAAGCTATATAACATGAAACATGACTGAGGTCTAATGTTAAGTTTAAAAAAAGATACAAAATTAAACATACCCCACCTAGACCACATAAACCTTGAAGAAACACTGAGAAGACACAGAAGATGATGGTTGTTAGAGAAGCAATGCACTTACAGTCCCACAGTTCTACTTCAAAACTTCATGTACCACTGCTAAGCTAGTTTTAAAATTTAAACCCTAACTGATAGGGTGTAATTCTAGCAGGTCAATTCCAAACACAACAGAAAAAGCAATTCAAATAATTTAGGATTCCCATGCCAATGTCAGCCAGGGAGCCTGCTCCAACAGCAAGCCCGCCTGAAGACAGGCGCTGAGGCACAAGGTGCAGAGGGGCCTGCGGCAGGCTCTACAGGAGGACCTCCCACCAGCCCCCTCGGTCGGGGCGGGGGGACAACCTGATTGACGTCACGCAGCCCAGGAGGAGGAACTATCTGCACGCAGCTTAGGAGTGGGGCCACTGGTCAGACATTCCCAGTGGGCTTCCCAGTCCACCTCCTAACCCCCTACCCAAGAGGTGCTCCTTCCCAACTTCTGTTCCTACAAGTAACAAAACTGAAGTGGTCAAACTGCGCCAAGGAGAGCTGTGCTGCCCGGGTGGACAGCTGTGCTCCCTGGTGACCACTCACATGCGAGCTGCTGCAGGGACTCGGCTTCGCTCGGCCCAGGCCACCGGCCGCCCAAGCTGGAGCAGAGGCCTGAGGCCACAGGTGCTCTGGGCTCAACATTCAGTTATTCATTTGGCTCCTAAGAGACAAACAATGGGGAAGGAATGACAGAAAACTACCTTTTAAAACAACATCTCGGCCACCACCTGGGCTGAGCATCTATCCATCTGCTCCTTGGTCAGCTCGAAGCAGCTCCGGGCGAGCTGCTGCTGCCTGGTGTCCTCACTCACCATCAGCTCCCCGTAGAGGTAGATGCCCATGGCCTGCGGGGACAGGGGCAGAGAGCATGAAAAAAAGGAATTAGCGTCCACACGTGCAGTCTGTGTTTAACAGAAACCTGCTGGGCCAGAAACTACAAAGACCCTAGAAAAGATAAGACGGTCGAACAGCTGTGCTTCAGGAACCCGTGGTCTTTAACCCCCTTCTCTTTCCCGCTTTCACTGAACCTCCAAAGAACTGTCAGTGATCAGTTCCGTGAACACGACCTTGGTGATTTAACTGATAAAGGGATGACAGTGAGCATTTCTCTAGCAATGACCATGTCAGGAATGCTCTGCAACAGACAGGAGGGGCTGTCACAGCCACCACGGAGGCCTGTGCAGCTGACGGAAGCCCTGAGGGACTGTATGCAGGTCACAAGACACAGGCTCCTTCCCAGGAAAGGGTGTCCCTGGGCACTGCTGGAAGTGAAGACCACCACGTCACACGCAGCCATGGGTGGGCAGCACCATCATGCCACCCAGGGAAAGGTGCCTGCTGCTCCAGCCCAGCCGACTGTGGTCCCTCCACTGCAGCAAACACTGGCCCTTCTGTGTCAGACACAATGCTCCACAGACCTACATCTGCATTTTTCCTGGTTTTAAAAACAGCCAATTATGTTCTGGAAGACCAAAGACCCCTCGGGTTCTGCCTCCAAGCTTAATTACGCCATGGATCACATTCTGCTGGAGCAAATTAAAAGAAGGAACTCAAAGACAGCGCAAGACAAAAACTTGTCCAGTAAGAGGTTCACAAATTCCCTCCTGAAAAGGCTGTGACATGGTAATCCTTCTCTGGAAAAGTTCGTGGTTCTAAGCATATTGCAGTTAACTGTGTCTTTCAAACAGATCTTCATCTTCTCTTGCATTCTCTCCTCCCTCATACTCCTCTGTGTTTCCAAACATCTCCTGCTCCACTGTGCAAATGTGACATTTCTTCTGGTACAAAGTCATGCATTTTTCTTTGTAGGAGTAACAAGCCCTTCCTTGCTGGCAGCCCCCCATGCTCAGGCCTCTCAAAAGTCCTTTTGTTTGCCCTGCCCCCGCGCTCCACCCCACACGGCTCAGTGCCGTCAGCCCCGGAGCTGGGCAGAAAGCTCGCTCACAGGCACAGTGGTCAAGTCCACAGGACAAGCTGCAGGCTGCTGACTTCCACCAACAGACATAACCTGTGGCACATGCTCTGCCACGAACAGCCACGCTGGGACACGTGTGGGTGGGTGCAGAGGCAGCAAGGAGGACATCCCCCAACCCAGTCACACACACAGGCTTCCTGTGGGCTCCTAGAAAGGTGACCACTTCCCCCCGGTGAACAGGGAGGAAAGTTCCCGCAGGAAAGACACTCAGCACAGGAGCTGGCCTGGCATGTCTGGTGCAGAGACCAGACCAGTCCAGTGATGGGGGCTGCCCACCGTGTCTGCTCACATGCTTTAGGGCCAGTGAGGACAAAGATACACCCCCCAGCATCACTAAGCCACACCTGGACCTGAGGTCTGGTGATGCTGTGAAGTCTGCACAAGCCTCACCTGGGAACAGCCACGGGCCACAGCCGGGGGAACCCACAGGGCCTCCAAGGACCAGGGTTAAGTGCTGTAAAGGGACACCGAGCTCTAGCAGGAGAGTCAGCTCAGAGTGCGGGAGGTAAGCTCCTACCAATTCTTCAAAATTTTGGAATATGTTTAAATGTTTGTTACATTTGAGTCCCTGTGTTGTGTACCAGGCATCCAGGGGATGGTACAGCACTGATACAACCCCCGTCTGCTGAGAAATGAGACTTACCTGATCCTCCTGAAGGAACTTCTCCACGTTTTTGTACGCTTTTGTGTATTTGTGCTTAACAATGAGCTCACACCACCGATGGCGAACCTTAACAAAGAAGAGAACATCCAGTGAGCAACAAACTGGCAGATTTTGCTTAGCCTTCTAAGTTTAACTACTGAAAACCTTCTGTGTTAGAAATAAGTTACGGCATCCCCACTTATCCTCAGGGGATGTTCCAAGCCCCCGTGGATGCCTGAAACCTGGGCAAGTACCCCTACACATACTATGTTTTTTCTATACATACATACCTATGATAAAGTTTAATGCCTTTTCCACCTTAACTAATCAGCACTTACACTGTGGTTGTAACTTTCGAAGTCTGAGGTACAAAAGCCAAACTGGCCCAAATTTCTTCCCTTCTTCACAACTTCAAGGATGGAAGATTCGTTCCTACCATACAGCTCAGCAACCTAAGCTTATGATTTCTTTCTTTCCTTATTAAGTCAGGAACTTGCCCCTTTTCACTTAAGGGAAGCTCTTTACGCTTCTCTCTGGCATGTCCGAGTTGTCGGCATCCTGCTCTTGGTGGCCTGAACACAAGCACTGCGAGATGCCGTGACAGCCGGTCGTTGACGCAGCTGGTGACTAA